GTCTGTATGAAGTGACCCATTTTGGAGAACTTATCGATCACCACGAGGATGGAATCATGTCCTCGTGAGGTCGAAGGAAGCCCTGTGACGAAGTCGAGGCTAACGACCTGCCATGGCTGCTCCGGTACGGGTAGAGGCTGAAGTAACCCTGCTTTTTTCTGCTTGCTGCTCTTCATCCGCTGGCACGTGTTGCAAGAGGTGACGAACTGCTGCACGTCTGCTCCCATCCCGGGCCAGTAGTAATACTTCGCTATCCCTGCTAACGTCTTGTTGCTCCCAAAATGTCCCGCGTAAGGTACGTCGTGAAACTCCTCCAATAGGATCTACCGTAGCGGGGCGTAATTCGGTACCCAAATCTTTCCTGAACCCTTCCTTATAGCTAAGTCTTTCTCCCACTGTAATAGCTTCTTGGTCTGTGCTGTAGCAATCTCTGCGTCCACGGAGTACCCATGTTGGAATAGACCCTTGAGCAGAGGGTTCATCCCGTCGAGCTGGATGCCTGCTACATGTCCGGGGCGGCTCAACGCGTCTGCCTTGTTGTGTAGCCCGGGCTTGTAGACGATGTCGTAATGGAAGTGAGTTTCCAGGAAGTCAACCCACCGCACCTGTCGTCGTGAGAGTGTCGGCTGTGACTTCAGTTATTTGAGACTGCAATGGTCAGTATAGACTGTAGTCTTGGCTCCCTCTAGGTAACACCTCCACGCCTTGAAGGCTATGACTATCGCTAAGGCTTCCTTGTCGTGAATGGGGTAGTTTATGACTATCTCGAACACCTTCCGCAGATGCTCCACGTGCTCCTTCATATTCTTGGAGTAGATGAGAATGTCGTCCAGGTACACCACCACGCACTCGTCTAGCAGGGGTCGTAAGATGTGATTCATCTCCACCTGAAATGTTGCTGGTGCGTTGCAGAGTCCGAACGGCATCACCAAGTATTCATAGGAGTCGTATCTGGTACGGAACGCTGTTTTGTGGACGGAGTTGTCTGCCATCTTGATCTGCCAGTAGCCCAATCGTAGGTCCAGCTTCGCAAATACTGTTGCTCCACGCAGTTGATCGAGTAGGTCGTCTATGCGCGGTATGGGATATTTGTTTTTGACTGTCCGTTTGTTCAGTGCGCGGTAGTCGATGCACATCCGTAGACTGCCGTCTGGTTTTGGAGTGAATTAAACTGGTGCGCCGTAGGGAGAGGTGGATGGGCGGATCAGTTGTCTGTCCAGTAGATCCTCTATATGTTTTTTCATGTCTGTCAGTTCAGTCGGACTCAGTCGGTATGGTGCACGTGAGACGGGTTTCGCACCTGGTTCCTCCACGATCTCGTGCTCGTGGGTGCGTGTTGGAGGTACGCCTGCAGGTAGGTTGTTGGGCATTATATCCTTGAACTGCTCCAAGACCTCTTTCACTGCTGCAGGTAGCTCGGAACTCGGCTTCTCCTCCTCTGCTGCTGCCATAACCAGTGCTAGGTAACCCGTGTTACTCTTGTTCACCGTCTGTTCGAACCGTGCCAGTGTCGTTTCAGGTATGTCCCCTGTATCCGTCCATCTTCGCAGCTCCACTCGTTTCCCGTTGTTGTAGATGCACACCTTGCTGTTGACCCAATCGATCTCGGGGTTGAACTGCTTCAGGAAATCTCGCCCCAAGATAAAATCTAATCCTTTGATGTTGGTCACTGGTAGCTTCGGCTTCCACCTCAACGCACCTATATGCAGTTGCAGTGATGCTTCGCCGTGGATAGGAAGCTTCGTACCGTCCACCATGGTTGCTGAAAACTGGGTCTCTTCCGCCTTCTCTCCAATTTTCTCCAATGCTCCGCAGTCACACACCGAGTGAGATGCACCGCTGTCCACCAGTGCCTGGAGGCGTCGCCCATTGCATAACACCTCGAGGAGTAGTGGTTTCTGCTGTGCTGAGTAGCCAAAGAGGGTCTCGTTAATAGGATCATAGGGTACATCGAACTTAATACCTTCCCTTTTTCCTATACCTGACTTTGCGCTTTCCAACTTCACCTGGGGGGTAGGAGGATTTTTCCGAGGCTTGTATAATTTTTCCTGAGCCTGGATGTCTCCTCTAAGCCTTGGCAGCTGTGTAGGCTTCACCTGTGGGCGACGGGGAGCCTTAATACTGTGCTGCGGGGAGAGAATATTAACTCCACGGAACGCACGACCCTTCTCTACGCTCCGTAGTATTTTGCCCAACTTCTCAGGTACCTGAATAATTTCTAAAGGCTTTTTCTTGGCCTCTAGACCTCCCCTGAATTTTTTGAAGGCTTGTAAACCACGAGAAGCAATATTCTTCGTTAGAGCATCTTTCTAGGATACTTTTAACAAATTCTTGCTTTCGTGGGTGTTCGGCTGGAGTTTCCTGGTCGGTGCAGAGTCTTTTTTCGCGGAGCCTCCATTCGCCTCGGCGATTTCCCCTGATGCCGGCCGGTCGTGACGTTTTAAATTCCCGCCATCATTTTCTCCTTTTTTCACCTGCTCCGAAGTCGCCACGTCGTCGCCTTTTCCTGCTTTTCGGATCTTTACGCGATCGCCAGGTCGATCCGCGGCTACTGGCGATTCCCGTTTTTTTAATTCGGGGGTGCTCCACTGTTTCCGTCCCGGAGTGCCGCACGTGCTTTCTTCATTTTGTAGCACGACAAAAACTGATGTCCTGCTACGCCGCAAAATTCGCATTTTGTCGGCTGCTGCTTCGCGTCGTATTTGTCGATATCCATCGGTTCGGTGAACGTGGGGGGTGCCGATCGCTCCGTGCCGAATGTACGGTTCGGCGTGAAGCGTCGTGTTTCGGGTTGACTTCGAGTCAGCGCGTCGTATCGCTCGGCAGCACGCACGATGTCTCTGTAGCTGTTGTAATTCGCCGCAATCACCTGCCGCCGAATCTCCATTTTTAATCCTTCGGTGTACGCCTGGATTTTTTCGCCTTCGGTCAGGTCGGTGATGCGGTTGAACAGTAACTCCATCTGCTGCGTGTACTGTGTTACACTACTGTATTGCTTGTGTCGGTGTATCTGCTGCCGCGCCATGTAGGTTGTATTAATTGGTTCGAAACGCTCGATTAAATCTGCCCGAAACTGCTGCCACGTTTTCTCCCCGCAGGCTACGTCGGTGTAGTAAATCCATTCGAGAGCCGGTCCACGTAACAGTGTCGCTACGAGCCGAATCCTTGCTGCGTCGTGTTGCGGGGTCGAACAGCTAATGGCCTCGAAGTAAATTTCGAGGGTGGCCATGAATCGCCGGACGTCGGATCCCTTCGCGCTTGGATCGAACGCCTCCGGGAGCCTCGGTCGTGCTGCTTCGAGGTTCGGCGACAGTGGTGCCATTGGTCCGTGAAATGTCGGTGTCGCCACTGCTGCCTTTAGATGTCGGTGCTGCAGCCGCTGTGGTCGCTGCTGCTGCGGTGGCGAACCCTGGTTGGCTTGTCAGAAAAGCCTCGAGTCGACGAAGCGTCGCCTGCGTCTGCTCCATGTCGGTGCGGAGGCTCGCAATGTCGCACGTAGTCGCGTAGTTGTCGCCTTGGCCCTCCATTTGGTGATTTACAGGAAGATGCGCGACGAAAATAATCGAATTCTAGGTGCTGGTCGACTTACTGCGAGTCAAATTGACTGTAGAATCGACGAGCGCGAATTCTGTAGGTTGCGTAAATCTCCCTTAGGCGAAATTCGCGTCCGATCTTGGCCGTTGAGGAGAAAATTGATCCGACGCTCCAGATTCCAACTTTTTTGGGCGATATTCTCTGGGCCGTTGAGATGAAACTCGATCGAACGGTCAAAACTCCAACCTTTCCACCAGTAAATCTGAGGGGTGTTCGAAAACCGAATCGAGGAGGACTTAGAAAATTGCGCAGAACTGGTTTTACATACCCGTATCGGCGCTTTCGTCGTCGCCCCCACCGTTTTTAAAGGCCGGAACTAAGCGGTTGAAGACCTCGCGTGTAAATCCGCTCTGATTACCAAGTGTGAGGATCTAGGATTGAGTTCAGAAAAGAGAATGAGAATTGAGTCGAATTGAATTGAATTGAATGTCCACCTGGGTACAACACGAGGCTATATATAGGCTCGACACAAAACCCCGTAACCAGGTGTTACGCGAAGGTTCCGCGGGCCGCGTAGCGTCCCGAACGGATCCTTACCGAATTCGGTAGAAGGCAATTCGGTGGCAACCGAAAAGCCAGAATTCGGTGCACGTAACCTAGCTCGGTGCTATAACTATAATAAAATATAGGAAAGCACCTAGCCTAGGAAATCAAGCAATTCATGCATGCATATGATTATCCTATGCTAGAAATAGCATGATAAAGTAGAGGCAAGCAAGCATAGCTGGCATAAGCTGTCGTACTCTCACAGCAGCGCGCTGCCGCCCCTCGACGCAAGGAACGCAGGTAGGGGCAGGCCCGGGGGGTAGGGGAGGGAGAGACCGGGGAAGACAAGTAACAAGGACACGGGAGGCCATGCCTAAGAGACGAGGCAGGGAGTGGTGACCAAGGCGGTGGTGCCCAAGGAGAGTCTGGTGAGACAGGAGGCGACACGAGGAGGGGGCACACCCTGGACTAGACCGGGACGCTGCAGCAAACACATGACCCGACGCAGCTACCTGACCAAACTCAGCAACCGGAGGAGACACGGTAGTCAGGGTGTACAGGCTCGACCCAGGCTGACAGGTGAACGTGGCCAGGTGCCGGCCTCTCCGAGTACACGAACAGTGGGTCACTCTTTGATCTCCAGGAGTGAACTGTTCAACCCACGCGTCCTGAAGGTCAGCTCCACTCACCAAGGTCGTGGAGAATGAGGGGAGGTTGAGGCCAGACAGAGAGCCAGACGGGACCGCCGGACACGGCAGGACCGTGGAGGAGTGTGCAAGGACCGGACCCCCGGAGGGGTCAGCCAGAGAGACTGCCACTGGCCGACTGAGCGGCAAGAGTGTGGTGCAGTTGCGAAAGGAGGAGTGGGGAGCACCCGAGTCAAGGGTGAAGGTGTGTAAGGCCTGAGCCGACGCGGTACCTTAGAGAGCAGACTCACCAGTACCTGGGGCAGCAGACTGACCAGCACCTAGAGCAGCAGCCTCAATGCCCGGGTCGGGCGGAACACACAGGTAACAGTCACCCTCAGCACTAATAGACACAGCATACATAGCAGCAAGGATAGCATCATAATCAAGATCAAAGACAGCAACCCCCGACTTAAGCAGATCACCCTAGCGCGGGATCTCAGTGCCATCAGGAAATTTTGTACGCCAGGCGTCAGTCAGACGACCAAGACAGCGCTGCGTGGCGTGCGGCCCTCCGCACGTCTCCCCACTGCGCTCGACGGTGCGGAGAATGTAAGCCCAGGGACCAGCACCCCCAGACCTCCCACGCCCAGCGTACCACTCACGAAGCTCCTGGGGCGACAGGGTCTCACGAGAACGCTGCTTCTGCTGGCGGTGGCCACCACCAAAGCCTCCACGCTGCATAGCGCCACTTTGACCAGCACCACCGCCACCTCCACTGCCGCTGCCGCCGCCGCCTCCACCCCCACCTCCGCTACCGAAGCCCCCACTCCGCCACCACCCCCACCTCCCCCCTTGCTCTTGCCGCTGTGGCGCCTCCCACTAGGAGCAGACGCAGCGTCGACCGACTCGTTGCCAACGAGGTCGACAGCAGTAGCAGAGGCAACAGAAGGCAAAAGGGGAACGAGGGAGCACCCCTCAAAGAAAGAGGCACGAGGGTCACCACGAGAGGCTCCTACAGCGATTATACTCTTGTCAGCTGCAAGGAGGCGCTCCTCAAGGAGGTCAACGGTGAGCGTGGTGGGGCAAAGGGAGAGGAAGTGGTCCCTGACCAAGCGAAGGGAGTCAAGGAGCCGGGTGACGAGGTAGTAGAGAGTGATGTACATAGGGGGGGGGGGGGTTCTTGGCGCAGAACTTGGCAGGAAGCGCAGTTTGGTAGCGGGTGTCACTAGTGCGGAGGTGCGTAATGAGGTCAGCGACTGTGGCAAAAGCAGCTATGTCAGGGAACAGGTACGACAGCGTGAGGCAGCTAAGGGCAGCAGTGGCAGGGGAAGAGTAGCGCGCAACAACAGCGTCGTACAGAGTCCTAGCGGTCTTGTATTGGCCAAAGTGCGCGCGCTCAGCAGACGGCAGGTGACTACGAACAGCAAGTCGGGCAGCAGCATCGCGCTTGGTCTGTTGCGAGCGAACAGCACAGTGAGCATTGGCAGCAGGTGCAACAGAGACGCCGGACATGAGATCGAACAGTGAGACTCCGTCCCTAGAATTGCACTACAGAAACAGCTGCAGATCATAGACCCAGACCTCAAAGTCAACCGCTCGACCCTCAGTATCGAAGGTAAGTACATTCGGGGTAGTCATGATAGCACGAACAGCAGCAGAAGTGCTAGCAGCAGCATTAGTAGTAGCAGCGCGACTCTCCACGGCGGCGCGTCTCGGCAGGGCGGCGCGACTCGGCAGGGCAGCGCAGCTCGGCAGTGCGGCGCGGGCGCGGCGGTGTGCTTACCAGGAGCGGGAGCGGTGGAAGGGCCGCAACTGGTGGGGCAGGGCCGGGGCGCGCAGGCGGGACAGGGGCCGCGACAAGTTGGGCAGCGACACGGCTGCAGGAGCAAGGCCGCGTCTGGCAGGGCAGGGGCCGCGACGTGGCTGCAGTGCAGGGGGTCGCCACGAGGCGACAGGGCCGGTCAGGAGCCAAGCGGCTACTGCAGTGCAGGTCCGCGACAAGGCAGGACCGCGGCAGGGTAGGGTAGGGCCGCGACGACGAGGCGGGCGGGCCGTGGAGGGCCGCGACGACGGGCAGGCGGGCCGCGCATTGCCGCGACGACGAGGCGGGCGGGCCTCTAAGGGCCGCTGAGGGCCGCGACGGGCCGCTAAGGGCGGCAGGGCGGTTCGCACCAGGGCGGCGACGGGCCGTTAAGGGCGGCAGGGCGGGCCGCTAAGGGCGACAGGGCGGGCCGCTAAGGGCCGCGACAGCAAGGCGGGCCGCTAAGGGCGCGACGGGCCTAGAGGGTAGGGCCGCGACGGCGGCAGTAAGGCAGAGCGCGATGCGCCCTTCGGGCAGGGCAGAAAAAAACAAATTAAGTGGTGGCCCTAAAAAAAAAACGGTCCCACTAGGGAACCCGCTCTATACCATGTGAGAAAAGTATGAGGAATGGAATGTGTGACTAGAAAGGAGATGGGTACAAGTATGAAAACCTAGAAAAGCTGTACCCCATAATGTCTACCCCACTACAGCCTACACAGGCTATATTATATATGTTTGACAGATAACTGCAGGGCGCACTACCTGTGGGACGCGAAACCTGCGGAGCGCACGGTCTACGGGGCGCACTGTCTGCAGAGGGGGCTGCCTTGTTTCGTTCTAGTTCTTGTCGTGCTCCGCTTGTGTCTCTTCTCCCGCCACCTCCTACGTCATCTCTCACTGTCTCCTCTCACCCTATCACTGACTACTACCGTGCTGCTCGTCATGTTGTCTCGCGTGTTCTCGCCTCTCTTGTCACCGACCCTCTCCGTCGTCTGTCTCGGCTCTTACTGCCGCTTTGCTGACTTTGCTGCCACCCGCCGCCTTGAATTTTCCACGCGTGTAGTGGCTGCTCCGCCAGCCCGTCGTCTGTCCGCCGGGGGTGAGTTTGCCCTTACCTGTGATGTCCTAGAGGACAAGCAGTTTGAGCTGGAGTTCTTGGCAGCCGCTTCTCTCTCTCTCTCTGTGCCATGCTCCTTTCCCCTGACCGAGCCTTGATGCCCTGATGTTTCAACCAACGTGAGAGAGTTAACTTCTTCCATATTTTCGCCCTGACCCTGAAGATGACGACTCTTTGGGTGTTACTCTACGTTGCAGCACAGCAAGACTACGAGCTGTACTCCCTCGACTTCTCCACTACCTTTCTCCAGGGCAGCCTGCACAAAGAGATCTGGTTGCGTCGTCCTCCTGGCTTCACTAGCACTTTCCTGCCTGAAACCCAGTGGAGCCTAAGACGACCAGTCTATGGTCTGCCAGGCGCCCCATGAGTGGCACGACACGATGCGCACCACTCTTGCTACCCTTGAGTTTCGTTGTTCATCCGCAGACCAGCCGTTGTTCGTCCGTTTTGGGCCCACACCTTTCTTCGTTCTCGTCTACATCGATGACTTGGTCTTTATAACATTCAGTGGTTACTGTCAGAATCCCAACCACTAGACCATTGGGATAAAAAGGCTTGTTTCAGTAGCGGGCCAGTGCGCCCATAACCCCCCAAGCAAACGCGCCTGTAACCCCCCCTAGGATCGATCGGGGATCTCACAGTGTAACTCTACTGACACCCCCCCACACTGGGAGGCCCAGGACTGAGCACAGTGGCAACGGCCTACATGTGCATACACCGGGATTCGAACTCGAGACCGCTCTGATACCATGTCAGAATCCCAACCACTAGACCATTGGGATAAAAGGGCTTGTTTCAGTAGCGGGCCAGTGCGCTCATAACCCCCCAGGCAAACGCGCCTGTAACCCCCCCTAGGATCGATCGGGGATCTCACAGTGTAGCTCTACTGGCAGTTACTTGAAAGTAGACAGGACGGCTCTGGCTGAGGTGAAGTCTGAACTGCAGAAGAGACACACGTGCACTGACCTTGGTTTACTGCACCGCTACCTTGGCTTGCAAATCACCAGGGACAGAGCCTCTCGCACCATTACAAACTCATAGTCGTACATGGTGCAGCATGTCCTTTAGCAGTTCGAGCTTCACCACTCCACTACACAGCTCACTCTTCTTGCCGTTGACCACAGACTCACCGGCCCTTTTCCTGATGAGCCGTTTGAGTCTAGTGGTCCCTATGCAGAGCTTGTGGGCTGCATCATGTATGTGATGACTTGTACTCGTCCGGACCTCGCCTTTCCTCTCAGCATCCTCTGTCGCTTTGTTGCGACTAGGAGACACCTACCTGATCATCGGACAGCTGCTGTGAGGTTGGTGAAGTACCTGACAACTACACCACGCATGGGGCTTGTGCTTGGAGGGAGGCAGCCAGTTGTTCTGACCGGTCACTGCGACTCTTTTTACGCCAACAACGTGGAGACACAGAGGTCCACTCAGGGTTACTGCTTCAGCTTGGGCGCTGAAGCTGTGTTGTGGAGATCTACTCGGTCGTCGTCTGTGGCTTCGTCTAGTGCCGAGGCAAAGATCTACGCTGGTGCCATGGCTGCGCAGGAACTTCGATTGTTGACCTTCTTGCTCACTTACCTTGGTGAGCGGCCTCGCTCTGGACTGACCTTGTCTGCTAACAACAAGGCCATGATCTTTCTGTGTCAAGAGCTTAGACTAGAGAGCATAGTGGAGCACATTGACGTAAGGTACTTTCCCTTGCAAGATTTGCAGCGGTGCGGCCATGCCTGCTCGGACTTCGTGGCCTCAGAGGCCAACACTGCAGACATCTTCATCAAGGCCCTAGCGCTTAGTGACCACCACAGGTTCTGTCTGCAGTTAGGCCTTGTTGACACTGGTGCTAGGTTGCTGTAGCACTCTTTCTTGTTCCTTCCTCCCTTGTCCTTGCATCTATATATAATTGTGAACTCTTGAACTGGCCTTGTAGCCGTTTGCTTATGCTCATAATGTTTGGTGATCTTGAAGTGCACCCTGAGCGTTGTCTTGTTGTTTCTCTTGACTGGTCTTGTGACCCATTGTTTCCTTTGTTTTGATGCCTCTCACTTAGCCAATGGGGTTTTGTCAAATGTTATACATTATGTTGATAGGCTATCGTGAGTAGCGCTGTAGGGCGTACAACACTTTCTAGGTTTAGCATTTGTATTTCCCATCTTGCTAGCCATCATCATTTCGCTATGCATCACTGCTAAAATCTTGGGGTGTGGGAGAGTGGCGATGCAGGAGGGCATATTCTTAGGCTGCTCCATTCACACGCGGTGAGTGATACCCGCCTCCTGCAGCTTCTTGGACAGATTCAATAGCTGCACCACCCCCTTCACCTCCAGTGTCACCTGGTGGGATCCACAACAGGGAGGATCATTGTTTAGAGAAACAACAACATGACTGATTCGCCGGATAATGTACCACATTTGAAGGCTCCTAGCCGTAATGTCAGTTACAGATGTTAACTGCAAGTTTGAACTTAGACTGAGATGACATGGCATTGGGATAGAAAAAGTGTCATGTCATGCGCTACGTGAGGTGCCTGGGGGGAGGAAAGAGGGTTGTGAAGAAAAAAACTAAATTGCGGAAGCGGAAGGGACATGAAGGAACGAGAGCGGGCTCTAAATCTAAATTGCAGCAGCAGGGCGGGAACATAACCGGCAGGGGTTGAAGCAGTATCAGGGCTCTGGGAAACACTATCACCACACAACCGTAAACTCAAGCATTCATTCTTCCAACGAAGTGGCACTGGACCTCAGCTTTCCAGAGTGACACCATCGGAAAACCCTTTTTCAAACCTAAACCAAAAGAAAAATCCTAAACCAGATAATCAGTAACAGTAGCATAAGTGCACCCTCAAAACCACTAGGAGATGCGAGATTATACAAAAAAAAACTCAAACTGAAGATCATTACCAACAGTAGCATTAGTGCACCCTAAAAAACACCAGGAGATGCGAGATTATACCAAAAAAAAAAAAAAAAAAAAAAAAAACTGCAAACAGAAGATGAGCGCGATAAGCTCGAAACATCCAGTGCCCTATGACGGTGAAGCACGTGTCCAAGTTGTAAAGTGAGCTTGCGAGCACAAGTCCTCGCCTTGCACATCAATGACGTAGTACTTGAGCACGTTGTGGTGGTCGTGGTGCTGCCACAGTCAGCATGCATATCTACCCAACGCAATTTATTTTTCTCAACCCTAATATCAAGGCACCTCAGTCTCGGCACACTGGGTGCCTGAGGGCCAGGCGTGCAAATTGTTGAGCAAATGTGTGAGCAGCAATGCCCACGCGGAATCGCCGCACCCACCTTGCGCATGGAGTTGAGCTGGCCACAGTACTTGAGCACGTTGGGGTGATGGCGGTGCTGCCACAGCACAACCACACTCGCATGGCAGCCATGAGTGATCACCGACCCCAGCGGCCACTGCAACGCTTCTATCAGGTCGCGCCGAATCACCACGTGCTGCACCAACGGATCCTCCTCCTCCCCTCCCACTCCCTCCCCTTCCCCCTCGCCCTACACCTGTCCCTGCCCCTCCCCGCTCCCCTGTAGCGCCCCCTCCCTTGCCCCGGCACGCAGTGAAGTTAACCCTAGGGATGGGAATCGCCGTGAATCATGGGAATACCGAGAACCTCGAGAGTCAGTGAACCTTGGGATTTCCGTGACCTTTGAGAACGCCGCGAGTCGCTAGGAACTGCGATCCGACTTGCCGCTGTTGTAACCCTCGTGCTTGTTTAAGCCTTGAAATTGCCGGACGCCGGGCCATTTGGCGGCAAACCTTGCTGCGGTGCCAGAGCTGTAACGGTTCGAGCATGATTCGCGAAAGCTTGCTGTAGCAAAGCGAGCACTCTTGGCGAAAGGTAATTGTAACTGCGGCATCCTTCGCGAATTCTTATAGTAACTGCGTGCACCTTCGCGAAAGGTCGCTGCCACAGGGCTATACTCCAGTTCCGGTTGAATCAAGGATTCGGTCGCGGGAATGCCGACAAGCCAGCTTCTGTTTTCAGTGTCGTAAGCGCGATACGGACTTCCTTCTACTGTTTCGAAGTTTCCTTTTATTACAACGCAACGCACCATCTCGACGACTCCTCGTCTTCCGCACGATCCCACCACGTGTCGTGATCGCAACACTTCCGTCGCCGAATGGAGGCTCTGACCCATCAGCTGCTTCGCGCCCACGTGCGCGCGGCTCGTCTCGTACGCATCGAGCTTCACTCTCGATGCGGATCGCGGCACGGCAACCGCTGCAACCGCGCCTTTCCGCGTGCGTGAATCGGCGCGCAGCGGCGTGGCGAGTGTGTGCGGCGCAACGGAGGAATGGCACACTAGGCGATCCATGCTCCGACGTTACACCGCCACCGAGGGACGGGATCGCGCGGAAAGGCGACAAGAAAAAGAGAAGTCAAGCGATAATAATGCCCGATGCCCGATGGGAATACGAGTCACCCACTGCCGTACTAACTACTCGACAGGACTATCTTCGGGATAATCTGAGGTAACTAAGGTAGGAGGTAATGAAGTGAGGCGGAGGGGTCCTGCGAGGGGGGTGCGCGCAAGGGGGGAAGGTGATATAGAAAGACGCGCGGGGAAAGTGCGGGTGAAGTGTCAATTGCGCGGAGCGGATGAAGGCGCGGAGCTGAACCAATTCACACCTTCGAGAAAGACAAGGTGTGGTCCACGTGGCGCGCTGGTATCGTTGAGGATTGCTTTAGTGCGGTCCCGGCACTCCCCACAATCTTTAGAGCTACAAACACGAATAATCACTTCATTTATAAAACCATGCACTGCACTTACAATGGGAAACGCCCCACGCCATAATTTGTGGATCTTTTGTAAGAGGCTGGAGCTAGATTAACTCCATACCTATAACTCCATTTCAATAATACGGTAATAAGCATAGAGAACGTACCATATTCAATAACTAATGGAATAGCAAGATACTACTGATACTGGTGCCTTGACTGCCGCATTTGGTGCTGTTGAAACCACTGGTTTGGCTGATCCAACGGCCTAACTACGTCCGCCTCCTCCTCCTCCAGCCTCTCACACTCATCCTCGTCCTCACTCAGAGGATCCCTCCCATTAGGACCCACCATCAATATATCCCATGTATCAGCACTACCACCAGTGTTCCTGTACATGTTACTGTTACTGTTGCCGCTGCAGGCTTGCCCTGGAGCTGTGCTTTGTGCCTCCCGCACACCTGGTTGGAGGGGAATGTTTGCCCCTCCTCTGGCCGCTTTACCCTTGTGCAGGAGATTAAGAGGCCGCTTCAGGAACCCCTGTTTTGTCCCTGTTTTCTTCTGCTTCTCCCCATCCCTCTCCCTCTCCTCCTTGCCTTCTGAGCCATTGCATGCATTGCCTACCTCCTCCTCGCGCTCTCGCTGCTTCTGCTGATAAGACGGAGGAAAATCATGCTGAGAAAATTGTTTCTCAGATGGCTTCTCAGCTCTTGCGAATTTACCAGTCGTCATCCTTCCAAACAGCGACAACACTGCCGCACCCTCCTTCCGAGAACCTTCTTCCCCGTCGTTAGACCCAACACGAGGAAACAGCCCTTTCCTCCTCTCCTTTCCCTCCCCCCCATCCCTCCCCTCGTTCCTCTCCTTCCCCTCCTTTCCCTGCCCTTCTCGCCCGTCCTCCTTCAGTTCCACTCTACATTCACCAGAACCAATCGATCCCGACCGAAGATAAAGCCCTTTCTTCCCCTCCTCCTCCTGCCTCTGCTTCCCCTGTTTGTCCTCCTTCCCCTCTGTGCCCTCCTTCCCCTGCCCTTTTCTCCCCTCCCTCCCCTCCCTTCCCTCCTTACCTGATCCCATTGACTCCGAGCTAGAACCAACCGACCCTGACCGGGGAAAGGACCCCCCCTTCTTGTCTCCCTTGCCGGGCTTATTGGCAGCCTTAGGCTCGGACAGGAACGAGTCAATGATGGAGTTCTTTTGAGGCGCCACAGAGCTCTTGTCTCCCTTTCTGGGCTTACTGGCAGGCTTAGGCTCGGAGAGGAACGAATCAATGATGAAGTTGAGCTCTTCCTTCACAAACTGCCCTCCTTTCGGATTCGACCCGCCCTCCATTTGACTGGGGATGCTGCTCGCACTGCGCCGGATGCGGCTGCTGCTGCCACCGATGCTGCTGCCACCGATGCTGCTGCCACCGCTGACACTACTGGCACCCATGTTGCCTCCGCTGTTGCTGCTGCTGCCACTGCTGCTGCTGCCACGAATTATGCCACTGCTGCCACTGCTGCTGCTGCTGATGTTGCTGATGCCACTGCTGCTGCTACTGATACTAACAGCATGCCTCAGCCCTTTCGCCTTGACAGTTTTCGCTGCAGAGGAAGATTTAGTAGCGGCAGCGACAGAGGCAACTACAGCGACAGCAGCAGCAGCAGAAGTACCATCATCAGTAGCAGAGGCAGAAGAGCGTGAGCTTGGGTCGGCGGTCTTCGGCCGTATCCCTGGCTGGCTCTTTGACCGGCCGTACAAGTCCTCCTTTCGCTGTGCGAACAAAACGCGGCCGACAAGGTCAACGCGGTCAACAGGGTAAACGCGGTCAACGCGGTCAACAGGGTCAATGCGGTCAACAGGGTCAACGCGGTCAACAGGGTCAATGCGGTCAGCGCATGCCTCACTCCCTTTCTTACCCCATTCATCAAGCCTCCCTCCATTGTACTTTCTCCCCAGCACTTGAACACTCGCCATCCTTCCCCACACAATCCCCTTCCCCTGCCCCTTCCCCTGCCCCTTCTCCTGTCCCTTCCCATTTAAGCTCTCTCCCTCCAACTCACATACGCTGCTACTGCTGCCTGTTCCCTCTCTCCCTGCCCCCCTCCTCCTATCCTGCACAGTAGCAGCTTTCACAAATCCTCCCTTCCCAACCCTCCTGCTGCTGCCACTTTTCCCACTCTCCCCAGACACAACCTTTCCAACTCCCCAGCCCTCATCTTTCCCAAGCCCCCCACTCCCGTCTCCTCCCTCCCTCTCTCTATCATCATCCTTACCCCTCCCTCTATCATCATCCTTACCCCTCCCAAGCTCTGCCAGCGTGCCAGAAAGAAGCCCCTTCCTCATGGCCCCCTCTTTCACAGTCAAGCTCTTTCCCATCCCCTCCTCTGGCCCTGCTGGGGAAGCATCCTTTCTTGTTTGAACCATCTCAGTCTCAGAAGCACCTGCCTCCCCCACCTGCGCTCGTGCCAAGCGGCTATGGGCAAGTCCTCCAGAAGATTCGTTTGTAGCTGCCCCTGGTGCGGTACAAGCTCGAACGGGAGCAGGAGCTACAGTGACTGAATTCTCCTCTGTTCCCTCCCCTCTGCTACCCAGTCCTGGGTGAAAACTTTCATCTGCCCGTTTGAGGCTGCCCGTGGGGTCAGTGTCGAGAAAGTCGGCAATGTCTGGGGCAATGACGACTGAGGCGAGGGGGAGAGGGGTGCCTGTGTCCAGATGAAAGGCGAGCAGAGAGGCGGAGGGGAGGCGAGTGAGCCTGGACCGTGACTGTGCTAGAGGTGGAGGTGGAGGTGGAGGTTGCGCCTCCTCCTGCTCCTGCTGTTGCTGCTCCTGCTCCTGCTGTTGCTGCTGCTGCCCCTGCCTCTGTTCCTTCGTAACCATCATCTTGTCTCCCCCTTCCCAATCTCGTCGACTGCCGAATCCGTGACTACTCCTGCTTCCCTCCTTGCTGCTCCCCTCCCTCCGATCACTACCCGTTGCCGGGCCGATTCCGTTCTCACCCCCACGAACGGCATCATCTGCATCGGTGAGTTTATTTTTGAGTCGACTAGAAAATTGAGTCGACTCAAAAACAGGATCACAACCCGTTGCAGGGGCACTCCCCTTCTCACCCGTACAAACAGCATCATCTGCATCTACTCCATCTCGCCTTACCTCCTCCCTCTCCTGCCCCTTTCCCCTCTCCTCTCTTCCGGCATCCTTCCGTCTCCCCCCTTCCCTTCGTACCTTCAGCATCACTCCTACTGCGTCCCAAGCTTCTCTCACCTCCTCTTCACCCGCCTTCCATTTTCCTTTAACCCTCACCTCCTCCCCATCCGCCCTCCCCTTGCCACTCCCCTTCTCATTCACCTTGCGCCCGTCCCTGTCCTCCTGCTGCCCCCAACCATTCAATACCCTCTCCTCTCCAGCAACCCCCCCTACGCTTTTACTCCGCCAGCCCTTACTCCGGAGCGTCCCTTCTCTCTCCCCTCTGCTCTTGCCCTTGCTGCCCTCTCCCTCTTCCCCTCTGCCCTTATCCCTAGCGCCTTCTCCTTTCTTCCCCTGCTGTTCCTGCCTCTCCTGCCGTTCCTGCCTCTCCTGCCTCTCCTGCCGTTCCTGCCTCTCCTGCCTCTCCTGCCGTTCCTGCCTCTCCTGCCGTTCCTGCTTCTCCTGCCGTTCCTGCCTCTCCTGCCGTTCCTGCCTCTCCTGCCGTTCCTGCCTCTCCTGCCGTTTCTGCTGTGCCGAAATTTCCTTCTGCCCATGCCGCCTCACAGGGGTGAACGGGCCAGCCTTCCAACCATCACTCTCACGTTCAGCCACGCCCAATCCAGGCGACTCAAAAGGCTCCTCCCCGTGCCACTCCTCTGCACCCGATCGACCCACAGAGGTCAGCGATCGGGCGTCTCGAGTCTCCCTTCCTTTGAAACCGCTTCCTCCGGATTTACTTCCACTCTTCTCCAAGCCCTTGTGGTCGCACTCTTGAGATTCCTCGTCGGCCAACTCATGGGAATCCCCCTCCTCCTTCTCCACCTCTCCCATGCTACCGAGACGGTCGCCCATCTCCCTGTGCCCGAAACCATGACCCACTGACCTGCTCCGAATGTGGCCTGGCTTCAGGCCTTGTGACATTGACACGTGGCCTAACCCTAACTTCTCGCCTTGTGCACGCCCCGATTTCAGCCTACTTGCGTGCGTTTCTCGCGACCTTTGAGGAGTTGATACGCTCTGAAGGTGGCTGGCATCTCGTTGCCTTTGTGAAGATCCCCCCTCTCCCCCCCCATCCATATGCAAACCACCAAGAGAACCACCGGAATGCTCCGAATTACCAGAACCAACCAAACGGCCAGAACCAACCAAACGGTCAGAACCATCGTAACAATCATAACCACCAGAACCACCCAAACGAGCAGAACCACCGGAACTGAAACCAGCCGCACGGCTCCCTTTCCCTCGCCCTGACCCTATCCATTCATCTTCCGTGGCAGTTTCCTCTGCTGAGTCAGACAGCTCGAGGTCCAGCATGGCAGCTGCTGCTGCTGACATCATCGCTCTCTCCTCCCCCTGCACCTCCTCCCCTCTCCAGGCCTCACTCGTGACGTCATCCATAGCAGCTTCCCTGACGTCACCCATAGCATCATCATCCCCATAAATATCCGACCCGTGTGAACACTCCCTTCGCTGTGCGTCCTGCGTCTCTCCCTCCTCCACTTCCTCCTCCTCATCCTCGCATTCCGAAGAGAGTTTTTGCTGGGAGTCAAGTGATAATTGGCAGCTGGGCGAACGGAAGTGGGAACGAGGGCGGGAGTGAGAGTAGGCCGCCTGGGAGTGGGAGTGAGTGTGGGAGTGAGCGTGGGCGTGAGTGGGCGAGCAAGAGGACTGAACAGAGGAGTTGCGGAGGCGAGAGAGTGCAGCCGTGCGGCCACTGTCCCAGGAGAAATCGCTGCTGAGCACGGCAGAGGGCAGGGCGGACATGGTACGGCGGGGGCGACCATGCAAAGGGACCTTCACTGCACGCTGGGATTGGCGCTGCTGCTGTGGCTGCTGCTGCTTTTGATGCCTTCCCTGCTGCTGCTGCTGCTGCATATGGTGTAGACCCTGACCTGCAGAAGCAGCTGGCTTGGAGCCATGGCCCCAGGGTCTCGTGTCCTCCCACTCTTGGTACCACTCTGTGCGATCCTTGGGCGTTTCCCCTTCCCACTCCGCGTCCCCTGCCGCCCACTCTCCTCTGCCCTCGCCTTCGCACTCACCCTCATCCTCGTCTCTTTCTCCCTGCTCACTGCATATCATTAACTTCTCCTTTCGGTTACTACGCCCATACATGGCCTGCTGCTTCTGCTGCCGCTGATGATTCTGCGGTGGCCTGTGTTCGCCTTGTGCAGCGGCGGACAAGGCGGAGTGGGCAAGGCGGCTACTGGGACCCGCCCAGCGTGGGGGGGAGGGAGAGGGAGAACCAGGAGAAGAAAGGAAGGAGAGGGGCCCTGAGGCGGACCGAGCATATCCAGTTCGAGACGTTGGATACTTTTGTTGCCTTTGCTGCTGGTCTCTTTGCTTCTGCTGGTCCTCCCACTGTTCTCCCTCCTCTTGCTGTTCCTCATCCTCCTGCTCCTTATGCTGGCCCGGCCACACCAACTGCTCCCTTCCTGCCTTGTTCTGGGCGATTCTCACTGCTGCAACACCAGGGTCATTAGTGCTGCCTTTCCCAGCAGCACGGCTCTGATACACAGAGCCGCCATCATCAACGGGGCCCTCTCCATCCGCGCTAAAGCAACGAACAGGAGGAGTAAAGCCATGCTTCGCAACAGGAGCATTAAAGGGACGTGGGGGATTGTTTCCCGCCTGAATGGCGTGGGGAGAGCTACTGCGAGGAGGGTGGTTGTGGCGACTGGGGCTGCGTTCTCCGGCAGGATTCGAACCCGCGTCTCCAACTGTAAATCTGGCGATTTCAGCGGCGGTCATGGAGGCGGAGCGATAGCGATGACGAGCTAGGAGGGGCTTGCGGTGGGACTGCAGGGGGTGGAGAACGGTGCACACAGGGACGAAGGAGCGTATCAGTGGAACCATGCTTCATACGTAGCTACAACGTTCGATTGCTTCTTTACTTGCTTAGTGCGAGGGAAGCTACCTTGTGCTACAGGGGTCAGCCTTTTCCGTTCGCGACAAAGGATCATGGGAGAAAGAGAGGAAGCAGGGACGAGGTGAGGAGGAAAACAAGACGCACCTCTCGCAAGCCACCAGCAGCAGCAATTCCCCCCATCCCCCCACCACTACCACCAGCAGCAGCAGCGGCGGCGGCAGCGGACGCTTCATCCGCCACGGCAGCGAGAGCAGCAGGTAACCCTCCCCTCGAATACGACCTCCCCCGGTCGAGCCCGGCCTTGACTGCCAGCGGAGGCCCCTCCAGCAGCATCTCGTCGAGCAGCATCGAGCCGCCTCGCGACTTGCGTAGCTCCTTTCCCGGTGCGCTTCCCCGTGCAGCGGCGGCGCCTGCTGACGGCGGCGCAGCACCGGAAGTTGACGCTCTAGGAAAGTCCAACGCGGGGGGTTGTTCAGGGACGGACGAGATTGGGAGAGAGGAGGACCTGGGCGTGACTGGCCGCTGCTCTGCCGCTGCTGTTGCCGCCATAGCCGTCGCTCCTGAGGCTAATTCGTCTGTCACCAAGGAGCTTCCCCTCGACCTTCGCTTTTCTCGACGTTCTTTCGTGATCCCGGTTCCTGTCGAGGGGTCCGGCACTGGAGACCGCGCGCGAAATTTCTGAGAATCTCGCCGTGCTGGCGAATTGTTTGCTTCTGGGTAACCCTGATTCTCCTCCGTGAATTGCTTTTGCGATGTGGTACGACGTCTTTCAGCCATTATTTCGTCCGGCTTGTTTCCTACGAATTCTCCTGACACGCCAGTCGAGTTGACGCGGCCTACGCTTTCTAATCTTCCTAATTTGACATGCCTGGCATGCGAGACTGGCAGCGTCGCATCGTCGTGTTTATTTTCCAGGAGGAAGACGTGCGGAACTTCGCAGCCGGCAGCCATGCATGTGCGTCTCCAGTCGCATGCGATGTACACAACCGAAGGCTACTTTCGACTAAGAAAACGCCGCTGCGCCATAGGCTCGATTCGAAGCTAACGCGTTCACACGAATCAGGAATTAACTGGGCTCGCAACGAAAATGCGGATAATTTCGGCAGTAAAAATGGTAAAGGAAGAAGAGCCTGCATACTCGCGACTGAAGAATTGAAACCTCTGTCTTCAACCCAACACTCGTATCATAACGTCGCTGGCAATGCGACTAGGGGATCTTTCTTGATGTTGGATGCAAGCTGGAGGCAATCTTGAGAATCCTGAAGGACCCCTCGCTTAGGATTCCCGACTCGAGTCTTTCCTGCTGATGAGCTCGATCCCGAATGAGTCACAGTGCACACCCACACCAACTTCCACAGATGATTGCTTGGTGCCAGGCAGGCGGGAAGGCAATCCCAAGAAGCCTTGGCCCTGATCGGTAGCCCTTAAAGCCCGAGTTTTACATGGTATTTTTCAAATTCAAGTTTCTTGAAGTTGATTTCGTGAATAACCATGTTACCAGCTGGTTCAGAACAAACCGTTGGTTTCAAGCAGCAGAGGTGATCCGTGATTGGCCAGCGATTAACTGGAACAACAAGCAGGAAAAACGCCTCAGAGGAAAGCACTATTCACCTTGAGTAAACTTGAAAACCATTGGGAACGCTTGGACACGCATATTATGAGGCACGCTAGTAGTCGTTCTCCCGTCACATACGGGCAATCTTCAGTCTAAGTGCTCTGTTCAAAGACACGAATCAGGGACCTTTGGCGACTTTAGTTGCAACCGAGCCGCCGCCATTATGTTTCCTCTAACGCAACCGCCACGTTCTCTCCAAGTGTCGTTGCAGCGAGTAGTAGTCTCAGGCTTAGAAAGAAGCACACGCTCGCGCGTCGCGAAAGTATCCCAAGCCTTCCGCCTCCGCCGTCAATCTCTCGGCCAATGTAGACACCCCGACTTATTTTCCAGTCGTAGCGCCTCGGTATGACAGCAACGCCACGGTGTATCACGTTGCCTCACTCAGTCGCCCTGGCATCGCCCTTCCTCAAACATCACATTCGCCTTCTGCGTACCCTACGCACACGCCCACGCTTCTCCCCACCCTTTCCCTCACCTTCGCTCACGCTTCCCCTTTACCGTCGCTGCCTCCTGCTCCCTGGGTGCACCCACAATTCCGCTGACCATCGCGCACGCCTCCCCCCACATTCACACACGCTCATCGCCCACGCTTCACCGGACCGTCACCCCCGCTTCAGCCCACCGTCACCGACGCTTCCTCTTACAGTCGCCCACGCTTCCTCTTACCGTCCCCCACGCTTCCTCCCACCGTGGCTCACGCTTCCTCCCCGTCAACCACGCTTCCCCCCACCGTCGCCAACGCTTTTCCCCACCGTCGCCAACGCTTTTCCCCACCGTCGCCAACTCTATTCCCCACCGTCGCCAACTCTTTTCCCCACCGTCGCCAACGCTTCTCCCCACCGTCGCCCACGCTTCCCCCCACCGTCGCCCACGCTTCCCCCCACCGTCGCCCACGTTTCCCCCCACCATCGCCCACGTTTCCCCCCACCGTCGCCCACGTTTCCCCCCACCGTCGCCCACGTTTCCCCCTACCGTCGCCCACGTTTCCCCCCACTGTCGCCCACGCTTCCCCCCACCGTCGCCCACGCTTCCCCCCACCGTCGCCCACGCTTCCCCTGCCATCGCCCTCCGTGTCGCCCGGGAATCCCCCCTCTCGCCGGCCTTCCTCCCCTCCCGCGAAAAACCCCCCCGTCCTCTCATTACCCCGACCTCTCATCCCCCTGTCCCCTGTCCTCTCATCCCTCTGTCCTCTCATCCCCCCGTCCTCTCATCCCCCTGTTCCCTGTCCTCTCGTCCCCCCATCCTCTCATCCCCCCGTCCCCTGTCCTCTCGTCCGTCTGTCCTATCATCCCCCCGTCCTCTCATCCCTCTGTCCTCTCGTCCCCCTGTCCTCTCATTACCCTGTCCTCTCATCCCCCCGTCCTCTCATCCCTCTGTCCTCTCGTCCCTCCGTCCTCTCATCCCCCTGTCCTCTCGTCCCCCTGTCCTCTCATCCCCCGGTCCTCTCATCCCCCTGTCCACCCTCCTCTCATCCCTCCGTCCTCTCATCCCCCTGTCCTCTTGTTCCCCCGTCCTCTCATCCTTCTGTCTTCTCATCCCCCCGTCCTCTCACCCCTCTGTCCTCTCGTCCCCCCGTCCTCTCACCCCCCTGCCCCCTCATCCCCCTGTCCTCTCATTCTCACCCACCCGTCCTCTCATCCCCCTGTTCCCTGTCCTCTCGTCCCCCCATCCTCTCATCCCCCCGTCCCCTGTCCTCTCGTCCCCCTGTCCTCTCATCCCCCGGTCCTCTCATCCCCCTGTCCACCCTCCTCTCATCCCTCCGTCCTCTCATCCCCCTGTCCTCTTGTTCCCCCGTCCTCTCATCCTTCTGTCTTCTCATCCCCCCGTCCTCTCACCCCTCTGTCCTCTCGTCCCCCCGTCCTCTCACCCCCCTGTCCCCTCATCCCCCTGTCCTCTCATTCTCACCCACCCGTCCTCTCATCCCCCTGTTCCCTGTCCTCTCGTCCCCCCATCCTCTCATCCCCCCGTCCCCTGTCCTCTCGTCCCTTCGTCCTCTCATCCCCCTGTCCTCTCGTCCCCCTGTCCTCTCATCCCCCGGTCCTCTCATCCCCCTGTCCACCCTCCTCTCATCCCTCCGTCCTCTCATCCCCCTGTCCTCTCGTTCCCCCGTCCTCTCATCCTTCTGTCCTCTCATCCCCCCGTCCTCTCACCCCTCTGTCCTCTCGTCCCCCCGTCCTCTCACCCCCCTGTCCCCTCATCCCCCTGTCCTCTCATTCTCACCCACCCGTCCTCTCATCCCCCTGTTCCCTGTCCTCTCGTCCCCCCATCCTCTCATACCCCCGTCCCCTGTCCTCTCATCCGCCTGTCTCTCATCCCCCCGTCCTCTCACCCCCCCGTCCCCCTGACCTCTCGTCCCCCTGTCCTCTCGTCCTCTTGTCCTCACATGCCCCTGTCCTTTCATCCCCCCGTCCTCTCAGTTCATATTCTCTCTGTCCCCCTTCTCTCTGTTTCCCTTCTCCTTATCGCCTTTCTCCCTGACCCTCGTCTTCCTCACCCCCTTCCCCGTATACCTATCCCCAACTACCACCATTGCCTTCCTTGCCCTTCCTCACCCTCCCTCCTATTTCCCCCCACCCTCTGCCTCCCTTTCCCTCACCATCTCCCCATGTGTGGCAACTATCAGCAAGCTCATCGCCACCACACCTCCTCTCTCAACAGAGGACAATGCACTGATGTGGATGGAGACCGGGGGTTGTCCACCTCCAACACCACCTGTTGGCTCGTACACCATATGATGGCACTCAATTTTACCACTGTTGACTCTCACTGCAGGAGAGCTTATGTTGTGCCATTCTTGAAACCAGTACCATTGAGGCAAACATGTTTGGTGGACAAGTGCTCATTCGCATAAATGTGGATTCCAAAATTCAATGTAAAATCCTTTATACATGTATACGCCTGCTGTGACTTGAGCCACTTGACACACACGCGTGCTAATTATGCTGAGTCATGAGCAAAAACATCAAACTACCGTACTTGCTTTAGAAGGTGCAACCTGTTGCTGCCAAAATCATGCAGGTAGGAGGAGTAGTATCTGTAGGCTACATGTACTCAATCGTGTGGTGGTAATGTCTTGTATGCAGTGAAAATTTCCAACAAACACAAAAAATGTTCCGGACACCAAATGGATCTGCAGTTCAGTGGAGCAAAACATGGAGAAGTAGAGCAAAGAAAGAGACGAATGGTAATGAGAGCACCACGTTGGGAGCAATAAGGGGCCAATCCTGACCTTGAAAGCTGTTGACATATAGTCCATGCGGCTGGTTGAACGCATGTGTGGGGAGGGGTGTGAGGCATGGGCAACATTAGTGCCATGATAGTGAAACGAGCACAAAAAGATAAATCAGTGGTTGTAGTATGCATCAAAGGTTAGAACCAAGAAGACATGGAACCGGATGGAGTAGGAGCAGCCTGTATTTTGTAACGAAGGGGATAATTGGGTAGTATCACAAAGCATGCTAAGTCGACAAAGACGAACGAAGGGTTTACGAAAGATACCTCATGGTAAATGATAAATCAATGGTTTGCACTTGACTTACGCTGTCGCATGTACCGTTGATTCGCATGACTGATGGCACTCGCACCTATTGGTGGTTGAGGTTGTGCTCGGAGGGGTCCACGACTCGGCTGACATCAAAGGGCGCCAAGGCCTCCTTTGGGGTCAGGCGCGGAGACACCACCATGGCCCTCTACTCGTATGGCACCAACTCCACACCAGTATCCTTCCCCAAAAGCACGTCCAGGAGCTGAGAGAACAAGGTTGGAATGAGAGGGGAAAATAATGCTCTATGATTGACTGAGGGGGAGGGTTTAGAATGACTAGACTGGGGAATTGAAGCATGAGGGCGTAAGATGGGCATTGAAGGGAGTAGGATGGGAGCATGGGACAAGGCTGGGAGAGGGCACACCGGGTCTGAAAGTGAAGATAGAGGGCAAAGCGAGAGATGCACATGTTATGGGTGAAGGCAGCAGTGATATGGACAAGGATAGGCACTATTTGTCAAAATGAGGAATGGTGTTTCCATTGATGTTGGTTGGGGTACATATGACAAACCCTAACTTCTGTACCCCCTAAGACAAACCTCACTACAGGCTACAACATTTGACACACCCCCATAGCCTAAGTGAGGGGTGTCTAGCAAAATCAAAAAGAGTACGGTCACAAGACCAGTCCAAAAGAAAACAAAGCTCAGGGTGGATCACAACGTCACCACACACTCTGAGCACAAGCAACAGTGGCCACAAGGCCAGTCCAAGAGATCACAAGTATGTATAGCAAGTGTACAGACGAAGCAGGCAATAAACTCAAGTCTACACATGACTAGAACCTGTGTCAACAAGGCCTAACTGCACACAACACCTCTGGTGGTCACAAGGCGGAAGCGCCTTGGTGAAGATGTCTGCAGTGTTGGCCTCGGACTCCACGAACTCGAAGCGAGCCTGTCCACGTCTCTGCAACTCTCGCAGAAGAAAGTACCTGACGTGAATGTGCTTCACTCTGCTCTCCAGTCGCGGCTCACGACAGAGGAGGATCGACGCCTTGTTGTCAGTAAACAAGGTCGGTGCAGAGCTCGGCCGCTCACCAAGGTCGGCGAGCAAGAAGGTCAACCACCGCAACTCCTGTGCCGCCATGGCACCAGCGTAAATCTCAGCCTCAGCTGTAGAGGTCGAGACAGAAGAGGAGCGCGTGGAACGCCAGGAAACAGCTCCAGAACCCAGACTGAAACAGTACCCCTGAGTAGACCTGTGAGTCTCAGCGTCGTCAGCGTAAGAGGAGTCACAGTGACCAGTGAGTACGACAGACTGCTGCCCTCCAAGAACTAGCCCCACGCCTGATGTAGTCGCTAGGTACTTCGCCACCCTCACAGCTGCCGTCCAGTGAACAGGACGGTGTCTCCCTGGCGCAACAAAGCGCGCAAGGATGCTGAGAGGGAAGGCGAGGTCCGGGCGAGTACAAGTCATCAGGTACATGAGGCAACCCACAAACTCTGCGTAGGGACCACTAGGCTCAAACGGCTCGTCAGGAAAGGGACCAGTGAGTCTGTGGTCAACAGCGAGAGGTGTGCGCTGTACGGTGGAGTGCTGAAGCCCGAACCGCTGAAGGACCTGCTGCACCATGTGTGACTGTGAGAGTGTAATGGTGCGAGCGGCTCTGTCCCTGGTGATCTGCAGGCCAAGGTAGTGGCGCAGCTCACCAAGATCAGTGCACGTGTGTCTCTTCTGCAGTTCGGACTTCACGTCTGCCAAAGCAACCCTGTCAGGAGTGGCGAAAACGAGGTCGTCGACGTAGACCAGAACAAAGAACGGTGTGGAGCCACGACGAACGAACAGCGACGGGTCGGCAGAAGACGGCTGGAACCCAAGGTCAGAGAAGGTAGAACGAAGAGTGTCGTGCCACTCGCGAGGGGCCTGGCGAAGACCGTAAACAGGTCGCCTCAGCCTCCACTGGGTCCCAGGAGGGAAAGTGCCAGTGAAGGCCGAGGGACGACGCAACCAGACCTCCTCGTGTAGGCTGCCCTGAAGGAAAGCAGTGGAGAAGTCGAGAGAGTGTAACTCGTAGTCTCTCTGTGCTGCTACGTGTAGTAACACCCGAAGAGTGGTCATCTTCGGGGTAGGTGCGAAGGTCTGAAAGAAGTCAACTCCCTCGCGCTGACTGAAACCTCTAGCCACGTAGCGCGCCTTGAAGACCGGGGGAGATCCCGGTGGCCGCTTCACCCTGTAGATCCACATGCCGTCGACTACGTTCGCCCTAGGGGGGGGAGCCTCATCGACGTAGGTGCCTGTGGATCTGTAGGAGGCCATCTCTGCGTCCATGGCAGCTCTCCACTGAGAGGCCCAAGGCCCTGACACTGCCTCGGCGTAAGTGCGAGGAGTCGGAATGTCAAGGGCGTCGGGGTCACCCTCAGGGGCGAGGAGCATGGCACAAAGATGAGGGGAAGCGGCCGCCAGGAACTCTAGCTCAAACTGCCTGTCCTCTAGGGCGTCACAGCCAAGGGCAGACACACCCCCGACGGCCAGAGGACAGGTAGGAGGAGCAGCCACAAGCGTGGTGGCGTAGTCAAGGCGGCGGGTAGCGGCAAAGTCAGTAACCGCGGCAGTAAGAGCAGACACAGAGGACACAGAGGCACGAGGGTGAGTAACAAGAGAGGCGAGAACACGAGAGAGAACAGGACGGTACGTGCGGTAGTAGTCAGTGACAGGAGCAGGGACCGACACGGTGAGGGCCGACTCAGGAGGAGACGGAAGCACAGACTGAGACGGACGAGGTGGACTGGAACAAAGTAAGGCAGTACGAAGGTCAGTGAAGGGAACAGGAGACGAGGGACGAGCACGAGGGGAGCGACGAGTAGCCCAAGAACGAGACGGAGGAGGAGAGGACAAAGGCGGAGAACTAGAGAAAACAGCGGGGGAGGAGTCAGGCGGAGGAAACGTGGGACCGTAGACAGGAGGAGAGGCGGAGGAGGGAGGAGAAGGGGAGGGGAGACCAAGGGCCCGAAGACCCGAGACAGGAGGAGGAAGTGGCTGCTGCTGCTGCTGCGGAAGCGGCTGCTGCTGGGACTGCTGCTCCTGCGGGTCCAGCTGCTGCTGCTGCTCCGCCAGCCGCTGTAACTCCCTCTCCTCTCTCTCCAACTCCAGCTGCTCGTCACGCGCACGGCGAACACGAGCCTGGTGCCTAGTCGGGTAGGGGTGGGGGGGCGGAGTAGTGTCCGAAGCAGCGGCAGCTCCAGAGTCAACCCCCGAAGAACCAGGCGCACCACCCCCAGAGGCAGCACTAACACCAGCTCCAGACCCAGGCGCACCAGAACCCGAAGCAGGCGCACCCTCACCCCCAGAGGGAGCACCCCCAGAGTCCGCGCGGCCAGCACCGGCTCCCGGACGACAAGAGTCCTCTGCACCCACCGGGTCAGCTCCAACTCCAGAACCAGAAACTCCAGCTCCAACTCCAGCACCCCCAAAACCAGAAACTCCAGTGCCTACTCCAGCTCCACCTCCAGCTCCAACACCAGCTCCAACTCCAGCACCCCCAGAACCAGAAACCGGTACAGGAACAGGCGCAGCACCAACCTCTCGAGAGCTAGCACCAGCGGCACGCTGCGAGGAGGACTGTGGGGAGGGAGGCTGTACCGGAGGGGCTACCGAAGGAGGAGGGGTAGCCTGGGACACACCTAACGGGGCTGGGCCAGGGGGGGGGAGGCTGTACCGGGGGAGCAGGAGGGGGAGCGGCAGTCAGGAAGAGGGGGGGAGGAGGAACCGGGAGACCTCGACTGGGGTACCTGACGTAGTACGGAGTGGACTCCTCGAAACGGACGTCACGGGAGTCAAAGAACCGGTGAGAGGGAGGGTGGTAAAAGGTGAAGTCAGAGGAGTCCTCAGGGAAACCAAGGAAGACACAGGGGACGGCACGAGGCGAGAGCTTGTCCGCGGAGGTGTCGCGGACAAGAGCCAAGCACCCCCAGACACGAAACCGCGACGCAACACCAGGGGACCCTGTCCAAAGACTGGTCGGTGAAACCTCTGGTCGAGAGACACGTGGCCAGAGGTTCAGCTGGTGCGCGGCGTACCTGACCGCGTAGGGCCACAGAAAATGGGGGGCACAGGCGTGAGTCAGGGAGGTGCGGGCGATCTCCATGACCAGGCCTATGCGGCGCTCAGCAACCCCATTCTGCTGTGGGGACTCTGGAAGCGTCCAGGACTGACGAATGCCCTGCTCGCGACAGAATCCAGTGAGAATGCC